GCGCCGCGAAGCGGCGAGAGAGGATATTGAGAATACGAAAAGATGCACGCCCTATGGCGAGGCTGGATGAAATGGCACGGCTGTCGAAGACGTTCAATAACCAGCTGCTGTGGCAACGCGAATTGCGTGCAACTTTCCGGAAGTAGTTGAAGAACGCAAGGGATTCGAGGGCGTCGATGTGCTGGGCGCTGGCCTAAGGGTAGGCCATGGCGAGCTCGCCGCCAGCGCGCATTGACGCCAATGGGATCTGGAGCTCGCGGAACACCTCGAGCCCATTGCTGGCGCGCCCCAAGTGCCCCAACAACCAAACTGAGCAATCAGACGGCGCCGACGGAAGGATCTTGCTTGGCCACTCGCTGATCGCACGCTTGATGGCTTTGGCGCAGGCGTCGCAGCAGCGGATCGGGCGCGCGAGGCCGCCCTAGCCCAGGCAACCACGCAGCGTGCTGGGGCGAAGGCCGCAGTGGGCCTGGCAGGCTGGATTGTGCGTCGCCTGGTGCAGTGGCGGACAGTTATGCAGCAATGTCAGTGCTTGGCGCTGGCGCCCACCGCAGCAAGTCATCGCGGCAATAAAGCGCGCCCCGCGTTGCCCGAGCAACCCCCGGACATCTGGGAATCCCCGGCCCCGGCTATCTTCGGGCTGGCGGCTGAGCCGCGATCGCGAATCCCCCATTCCGAACCAGCCACCGGAGACGGGCGATGGCACGCTTTGAGCGTAGCGTTGGACTGCCGCAGGTTCCGGCTCCATCTCGGATGGCCGACGGCCCGAGGCGCCTTGGGGGCGCTTGGAACTGCGAGCGGCTGGCCAGCCCACGTCGCCTTGCCCCGGGTTCTGCGCGGAGACGCCTGCGAGGGCGGGGGCGAGCGCGGGGCCCAAGTGTTGGGCGCCCGAGTTATCCGGGGCAACTCGGGCCCAGAGTAACTCGGGTTTGGGATCCTAAAAAACGAGCCCGAGTTAGCCCTGACCCGAATTACCCCTGATGATTCGGGGCTCTGGGCGCCCGAAATATCCGGGGCAACTCGGGCCCGGGATAACTCGGGTTCGGACTCCCGAAAAACGAGCCCGAGTTAGCCCTGACCCGAGTTACCCCTGATAATTCGGAGCTCTGAAAGTGCTCGACCGCAAGGTAATAGTCGTCGAAATCGTCGAGCTCGGCGCGGCTGGGCGCGGAGGAAAAGTGGCGAGCGAGGTTGAGTGAGCGGTCAAAGGGCGGCCGAATCGAGATCCCCCGCGCGGCAATTGCCCGGGCGAGCGACGCCCGGGGCCCCTGGGCACCTCCGAGGCGGGCGACCCCGCGGGAGGGCGCGGCCCGGGCGAAGGGCCCGGGCCCACTGGGACGCCCAGGCCGTTCCAGGCACGCGCGCAGAGCAGCCCTCAGTACCTGGGAGATTCCCTCCGCTGCGTGCAGGAACGCCGCGCGCGTCGCGCAATACTTCCGGCGCGCGTCGCCGGCCGCCGCCTTGCGGCGCGCCCGCGCGGCCGGGATTAGCAGTCAGCTGGGCGTCGCCGCGGCGATGCTTGTCCGAACGCCGCGGCGCGCAGGGGGCGCTGCAAAGATGGGCTGCGCACCGCGCTGGGCAGGCAGCCCATCGTTCGGAGCGCGGACGCCTGCCCGTGCACTCTGCGCATGCCGCGTTTGGCCCCGGCAACTTGAACAACCCCTCCTCCGCCAAAGCAGCCCCCCGATCTGCTGCGACTGCGGCCGATGAGGCAGCGGGCGCAGGGGCGAAGTCCCGCGCTTCTGTGGCTGCGACGCCCGACCCGGAGGCGTCGGAGCAACTCGGCGCGGGCCAGATCGGGGCCCCCCGGTCGCTATCCAGAGGTGGCGTCAGACCTGCGCTGGACGCAAAAATTCGCCCGCGACCTCCGTCTCGGGGGGCTGTTCCGCGCGTTCGCTCCAACCGGGGTCGTGCGCCCAGGCGAAGATCTCTTGAATCTCTTGCAACGTTGAAAGGGCTGGTCGCCGGCGCCCCGCTCCGAAGACGCAGGTCCGGGCCGGGGTTGAAGAGCGGCCTCCGACCGAGAGTTCATCGCCATGGGCCCCGCCGACGCGGGCCCGGGCCCTTTCTCCCGGGGGCGCAGGGGCGCGCCGCGGACGGCGGCCCTGGGCGACGCTGCGAGCCACGTTCCCGCCGCGCGCGGGATCTAAAATGAGCGCGCGTCTGAGCGAAAGAGCTGCGCGGGGCGCTGTCGTCGACGGTCTGGGCTGCGAAGCCGTCGGTGTCGCGCGACTTCCCGATGCAATCGAATCCGCCCGCGATAACAACTGGTGCTTCCGTTCGGGACGGGGCAATTAACGGAGTTCGGCATGCGACGGGGCGCGACATATAATTCGAAGACGAAGCGACCGGCCATGGAAAGCATGAGACCCACTGCGCCCGCCCAGCCCATTGGCACTGCCTCGAGGTAGACGCGCACCATTTCGCGAGCTGCGCCTCCGAAGAGCGAGCTGGGGACAGGCTTCGAACAAGCAAAATGCTTGCCCGATAAATCTGGCATCTTAAACGAAGCAGGGCGTCACGCCCCCGGATTCTACCGCCAACGCCTCGCCGCAGCTCAAGAGGACAAGCCCCAGCTGGTCGAAGCGCGGCAAGTAGTCGGAGCCTCCGCGCAGGCGCCGGCAAAACTCGTCGGTGGATGTGCGCGTGCAAAAGAATGGAAGACACGCCGTGGGAACCTCGTCGCTAGTTCTGGCTTTGTCGACCCCCGCGGCGCCTCCGAGAACTGGGTGGCCATCGGCCCTTTGAAGACGTCGTCCAACTCTATAGGCCCAAACATGCCGCTCTGCAGTCCTGCTATGACGACGGCATGCCATTCGGCACCGGTCGCGCATGCAGTGGATTTTGCGGCAAGCGCCTGCCGCGGCTCGCGCGGAAGAAGCGGGCGCGCAAGCGTCAGGACATCATCCTCGAGCTCGTCACCCACGAGCGTTTCGACCGGGAGTAACGCAGCCTCCCCAACGTTGGGCGAACTAGGAATAATAAGCTTGCACATGAGGTCCCTGCGCCTGGACGCGCAATCCTCCGAGTGGGGCAGTTTTTCGGAAACGCGGGTCGTCGGCCACGTCTGATATTGACGGGGGGGAATCTGGGGAACCGACGAAGTCGATCACAGCCCCGAGAACAGATCCCAGAGTGCGCTCCTAGGCCCTGGTCAGATACGCGGGGGACCTGGCGCGCGCTGGCGCCGAGTTCCAGCCGGCGCGCGCTAGGGAATTCAAACTGCGCGCTGCTAGCCGCGCCAGTCGCAAGGCACGGGCCCTTGGCAGGTTTCCCGAAACAGCGCGCCTGCCTTTATGGAATACTACTTTCGCTGAGGTGGCGCCGATGGGGAGGAGGTCCGCGGGGCCCGTCGCTGGGCCCGCAGCTGCGCTGAAGAGGGCGCAGCGCCCGAGGCGGGCGGCGGGCGCCCGCAAAGACTGCGCGCCCGAGGTCCGGATCGCAGCGGCCTGCAACGTGGAGCGCGAAGCGCCGATCGAGCTGACTTGCTTGTTCGACGAATTGCCGGTGGAGCTGGCCAAATCAAGTCGGGGAATCGAAAGCTGCCCGCGCCGGGGGGCCAGCGGCCTGCCGCGAAGAGCGGGCCTGGGCGACGCTTTCGCCGCGCGGCGAATGGGCGCCAGCGCGCGGGCCCCTGGCAGGGGCCCGTGGAAGGCTTCCTAGCATTCCCGTTCTCAGGGTGGCCCTTTGCCCAGTCCAACTCCCCCGCTCGCGCTTGCACTTCCCCTTGCCCCCACCCCTTTCCGGGGCCTGCGTTTGAAGCCCTTTCCCCGCGGGCCGCCCTTCGGCATTGGCTGGGCGCTCGCGGAGGAACCGATTGCGGCCCCCCTTGAAGACGGCGATCGAGGTCGGCCCCCCTCGTGGCCGCGCAGTCCATCCCTGTCCCAGCCGGGCCCTCGGACTCCGGAGGGATCAGTTCGATGCGCTGAGCAACGCCCCGGCCGACGCGCTCTGCCATGTCCAGCTCCCCCCGCCCGCTGCCGGAGGCCGAGTGCGTCTGCCGCCGCCCGGGCGCGCCCCATGCAGGGAGAGGAGCTCCAGGGCCACGCGCAGAGTGCGCGCTTCGCGGACGGCCCTAAGGTTCCCCGGGCGATCCACGGTCTTCCTGAGTTCCGCATGGTAGAAGCATTTGGCGGAGACTGGGGCCGCCTCCGCCGGGCCCCTCAGGCCCTGGCTTCGCCATCGCTGGGCGCTCCGTTGGCCATTCTTGCTGAGTGGGGAAATGACCGCAGCCACTGCTTCTTGTTCGCGCCGCCTTCCAGCCGGCCGAAACAGAAGCAATGGTTGCGGTCATTTCCCTGGCGCCAAGCTTCACGAAAATGACCGCAATCACTGCTTTGCTTCTGCTGGCTGGAAAGCGGCAACCAAAGAAGAACAATGGATGTGGTCGTTCTCACGCCTCGTAATCTTCTGGTGCGCGTCGATTGCCATGCGCCCCGGATGCCCCGATGCCAAGTCTACCAACCGGGCCCAGGTAGACCAGCTGGCCGTCGACGAGGCCACCTGACAAACTGACTGCCGCGGGATCGCGACCTCCTGGGGCGCCTCTTCGCCTTCCTGGCTGCCTTAACCCTCGACGCCTCTTCGACATCGCTCCGGACGGCGGCGTGCTCCTTGCGGAGACTGCGCCTAACTCGTCCCTCGTCCCTGCGATAGCGAGGGCCGGGTCCTCTTGGCGTGCCTCGCGCCTCTCGCGGGCTTTGTCCTGTGGGATGCTGATTCCTGTCCCTGCTGCGGCCCTGGCTCCGCGGCCCGCGGCGGTGGCCGTCGCGCGGGCCCCGCGCGGGCGCTTCGTGGCCAAATGGCTCCTGCCTGGGACTGCGCCGATCGGCTGTGCGCCTGCGCCGCCTGCTCCGACTGCGCCCAGGATGCCTGTGGTTCCTGCGCCCGTCGTCGCGGTCGTCGATGCCCCTCCCCTTCATGTCCTTTTCTTTCCACTCCTTTTCCTCCCTGCCCCCCTTGTAATCCCCAGCGGCAACCTCAACCTTCAGCTTCTCCGGGTCGCCCCTCGTGTTGTCGCCGTCGTCGTGCTTGTCGAAAAGCCCTGGGCTGGGGCTGTGGTCCCTTGACGGTGGGGGGTGAGCAAGTGGTGGAAAATGAAGTCGTCGCTCCTGAAGCTCACCATGGACGGCGTCGCGGATTAGCTCCCGGAGGCCATCGTCCAACAACTTCGCCCCGCCGAGCTCTGGGAACACCGCGCTGGAGTTCAGCGCGCGGTACGCATAGACCGGGGCGACGGGGCGACCAGCTCCCCCGAACTTCGCCTCCCCGTCGTCGCGCTTGCCCACGGCTTATCAATGGCAGCGGGGATCGCTGGCAACGAGAAACAATGCTCGCCACAAACGCCTTTTACCACCAGACCCTTGGACGAGAATGATTCGAGGACCCTTGGTCTTTACCCTCGTCGTCCGAAAGACCGGTCTCGAGGGCGTAACCCCGAGACCATCCATGGCCATGAGCGAACTCTGGATCGAACTTCGCCCCGAGCCACGGGCCCACCCCGCTAACCGCCATGGTGCCGCCGAGGCCAGAGCACTCGGGTGGTAGGCGAGCGACCAAGTCACCTTGAGAGAAGGAAATATGAACGTTTGGATCGATGCTGAATCGGAAAGCGCTCAAATTGTGGAAATATCGACGCTGACTTGACCCCAAACAACTATGGGAAGGCATCCCTGCGTGCATGTGTGCATGTCCCTACCTCTGCTATCCGCCGGCACTCGCTAACCGAGTATGCGTGGGAACACCAATGCGGTAAATATGCCACGTGCCTTGCTCATTGCCAGCCTCGAGGCGCCTGCGCGCGAAGGGAAGGGGCCTTCTCGATGCGCCCCATGTTTCCCGTCCTCTGCGGGTGCCGTGCCGGCATTCGACCGAAAGCCGACGGCCATCGGCGGTGGCTGTCTGACCACATCTGGCGCAGAGAAACAGATCACGCAAATCCCAGCGGGCCATGGCGTGGGAAACAAAACAAACAGGGTACTCGGACCTCCGCGCGCCCTCGGACCTGCAGGACCACGTCGCTGGGAAACGAGACCAGGACATCTCATTCGCGGCTGGACTGGCAGGCGTTTCAAACACCATCCTCGGACGCAAGAGCGCCGCGGCATCGGCATCTGAACATGTTGCCAGCGACTTCAAAGAGATGGGCGGAACTCCGAACGGCGACCTTTAATCCAACCAGCCCCCTGGGCGTAGGTGGTCCAGGGAGTTTCCTCATCCAACGCCCTTTTTCCCCTTCGGGGATTACCCCTCCCCCTACCCCCTCCCCTGGACCTGGACGGGGCGCCCCGCGAGGTGTCAGAGGGTACCTTTTCGCCCAAGATGGCTCCAAGAGGGCCTCAGAGAGCCCAAGATGACCTCCAATGTGGCTCAAGATAGCCCAAGATGCCTCAAGTCGGCTCCCAAGCTGCTCCAAGAGGCCCCAAGAAAGCTCCAAGACGGCTCCAAGAAGCCTCCGAGACCTCCAAAATGGCCTCCGCGCCCGGCAGCGCGAGGCCGGCGGCGCCGTGGGCGAGGCAGACTCGGCAGCGCCCCGCCATGGGAGGGGATACGCGAAGGGAAATCGAAAAGGAAAAGCGCGAGAGATGAAGGAGAAAGACGGCACCCCACCCTTGGCAGGGCTCCTGGCCGGGGGCGGGTTCCGGCGGCTTGAGCCGTGGCGGCTTGAGCCAAACGACATACTCATCTTTAGACATGGCGTCGAAACATACAGCTGTTGTGGTCTGCCGTGCTCCTGTTTATGTTCTGAGGATGTCCCGAGCGAGAGCGTCGTTTGTAACAAGCTAGGTGGTAACGCAGCTCTGACAGCAATATGTGGTCGAAGATGTCTCAAGCGACACGCCCACTTGGAAGATCACGTTACAACTCAGCGTGCCTAACGTCGGAGAACGTCTCAGGCGAAACGCTTGTGTCTGCAAAAGACGATGCTGCAAACAACTCATTTTGTGAGGATGTCTCAAGCTACATACTTGAACACGTAAGCGGGGCCTGCAGACGACGTCCACCACGCGACACTTCGAGTCTAAGCGCGCTTCCCGCCATCTGCCAATGAATTACCAAATGCACTCGGCTACACAATGTCAATCAGAACGTCCAACTCGCGTCTCGCTTCTCGGAAACACTTCCCGTCATCCCCCAACGAACGATCCGTGCAATCGGCTGCGGTGTATGTCGTCAGAGTTATTTGGAGATAGATACGCTCTCTCTAAATATCTCTACGCTGGGACGTCAGAATGCTTTTCTGTTATCTGGTGAAACTTCTTCTGTGCTTCCTACGGCCGCGTCTCCCCTCGTCGCGCATACTGTCATAGTATGGCCCCCAATGGTTTGTCTCCCCCAATTCCAATTTCGACTTCCAGACGAGTTTAAGAGAGCCAACGGCCATCCCAAAGAGCTGCAAGACGCCCTGAAACCGTCCGAAGGAGGCTCAACGAGCGCCCAACGGCTACAAGATCTCCCCAAGAGCCCCCAGAAAGCCTCCAAAAGATGCTTGTCCAACTGCTGCTTCGCTCCCGAAGAAACCCTTCGGCTTCAGATCGCGTCGGTAATGCTTCAGAGAGCCGCAAGCAAACCCAGGCCGACACAACTGCCCCAAGAGTGGCCCTAGATGGTCTCAAGACTGCCCGGGAACCATCCAAGACTGCCAACTAGGGTTCCAAGACTGCCACAAGACCCGCCCACGCGTTCCCAAGCTGGTTCAATCGAGCCTCTTCGGGGGAGCTCGGCGGAACCGTTTGAAGGGGCCCAAATAAATACACACACACGAATCCCAGGATTCCCCATATGTTTCCATATTTGCTGGTTTTTAGTGTTCCCCCCACTTCCCATATTTTCCCAGATGTTCCTGGGGATCGACGATTAGTTGTCTGTTTTTCTTTTGTGTTTTCCCTCCTGACCGTTGCGCCCAAGACGGCCCCGAGATCCCCGACTGGCTCCTAACGGGGGAGTCCAGTGGACCCCTGGCAGGCCAGAGAGACCCAAGAGGCACACTTGCCAATCTGCATTCGAGAGGGATGAGGGATGAGGGGGGATGAAACAAGGAGGAACGATAAGGACAACGGAAAGAAAAGGATAGAGGCTGCAGACAAGGACTGAGCTGAAACTGGTCTTCAAGTCAATAGCATTCCTGCTGCAATAGGGTCATGCTCGTCCTGCTTCAGTCATTTGTGGGAGTACTGCTGTATTACTACGGCCCTACACCGCAATACGACTTCGCGCGCCATATCATGCTTGCATATATATATATATATGTATACATACATACATACATACATACATACATACATACATACATACATACATACATACATACATACATACATACATACATACATACATGCATGCATGCATGCATGCATGCATGCATACATACATACATACATACATAGATGTGTGTATATATGTATATATGTTCGATTATGTTGTCAGTCTTTTGCTTCGACTCCTCCCCCTCTCCCTCCTCATCTCCTCTTTCCCCTCCTCCTCTCATTCTCCCTCTCCTCTTGCTCCACCTCCCCTTCCACCCCCGTTCCCCTCGTCGTCGGTCCTTCTCTTTTTCTTACTCCCCCAGCTCCTGTTCATCCCTCCCCCGCCCCCCTCCTTTCCGTGCCACTCCTCCGTTCTTCTGCCTTCCCCTCCTCGCTTCCTTCTTCAACCGACACTCCTAACCCTCACACGCCTCTCCCCCAGACCTGTCCCGGGGCGTGTTCCGACCAAGGGATCGAGGCGAATTGGGCCGCGGCCGCGATGGCACCCCATGAGGCCCAGAAAGATAACACAACACATATTTCTTCGCCGGCGGCGAGGCAGGGTCGGCTGCACCAGCGCAGAAGCTAGACGGGGGCACCGGAAAACGAATTGTGCCAGCATGCAAGCGGGGGAAGAGGCAGGGCAAAACAACACACAAGCACACGCCGAGATGATCATTCGCCCTCCTCTAGTCGTTGTCGGCCGACCTGTGCTCGCTCGACACCTGTCTATGACCATCCCAAGGGTCCACCCTGACTGGCTTTTTGAGCTGCGTCCAGCCGTGGTTACGGGAAGTTCCAGACACAGCCCAACAACTTCCAGAACGCGTCGCTGTCGTCGACGACGACGTCGACGATCGGCGTGGGCGGGCGCGGCAACGAAGGGCTGGAGGCAGCGGCGGGGTGGGGTGGTCGCGCCTCCTCGAGCTCAAGCGCCCGGACGTGCCGAAACCTCGCAGCGGTCGCGGTCGCGGTCGCGGTCGCGCTCGCGGTCGCCGTGGGCGTCGCCTCCGTCGTCGTCGTCGTCGCCTTCACCGTCACCGTCGTCGTGGACGACCGACCGTTGGTCGAGGGCCGATGTTCGAGGATCGGAGGTGTAGGCATTTTTTGGACCTATTGCGGGTTCGGGGTTCACGGGTTGCCCACGCGGCCATAATTCGATACGCATCGAAATTCTGGTCAGGACGCGCCGGAAGGCAAGTCTGGAAGTTGTCGTCGAGTCGTCGTCGACGTCGTCGTCGTTGCCGTTACCGTCGTTGTCGCCCTGTCGCCGCCGCCATTGCCGCAGTCGCCGTGGCCGTGGCCGTGGCCGTGACCGTCCCGCCGTCCCGCCGTCCCGCCGCCGCCGCCGCCGCCGCAGCCGTCGTCGTCGTCGTCGTCGTCGTCGTCGTCGTCGTCGTCGTCGTCGCTGTCGTCGTCGTCGTTCGTCTCGCGTCCTCGCCGTGGAGGATGAGAGGGTTGAGGTGGAAGGACAAGAGGACGAAGGAGAAGGAGGAATGGGAGGAGACGGCGGTGAAGGAGGAGAAGGAGGACGAGGACAAAGGGGAGGACGATGAGGGAGAACGTTTGTCAAAAAGGACGATGTGGGGGTAAAGGGAGGAGGGCGAAAGGAGGGAAAGGCATAAAACCATGAAAGCATACGGCTGCGATAACAGTGCAAGTATGCAGTGTGACCACGGGTGTTAAGACGACGCGAATACGGGCACGACAGGTTGCAACAGCGCGCGAGCCGTGCCGCAACCAACGAGGTCTCTTAAACAGTTGCGGCAAGATCGAGGACCCCGGTTTCGGCGCGCTCCGCTCCGCGGTTTGCCGGACTTCGCGTCGCCCCAAAACACCTTGACCTCCAAGGTGCCAAACCCGAGAAACCGATTTTACGACACCCGAGGAAGGGGCGACAACTACTCCTGGCACAGCTCCTGGAGCAAGCCGAAGCAGGCTGACGCATCCCGGGATAAGAGGCAAGTCTCCACGGGGGCCTTCTACTAACCAGGCCCCCCATAATCGGTTCCACAGAGGGCGAGGAAAGCAGACAATTGGAGAAGCAGAAGAAAAAGACAAATTCGCCAGCCCAACGGGCCAGAGGCGTGCTAAGCTCTCCGGTAACTGCTAAATAATACTTCTACTTCGCGCGCGCGGGGCGGCCCCTGGGGTCCCCAGACGAAAAGTACCCCGGGCGATCCCCGGCAGACTCGGGTCAGAGATGGTTTTCCTCCTAAACGCCGCCCCCGTGGCCCTCCAGAGAGCCCCAAGAAGGACCACGAGGCCGCCAAGAGCCCTCCAAGGTGGTTCAAGAGTGCTCCGAGATGCCACACGATCGTTCCAAGACGCCCAAGATGCCCCCCAGACGCCCCAAGAGGCCTCCAAGAGCACCCCCCAGAGGGCCCAAAAGGCAAAATTCATTACTTTTCCTTAGGTTTTGGGCAGATGTTGGCGTCCATCTTTTCGGCTTCCCGACTCCCCAAGGCGGCCCAAGAGGCCCCCAAGATCGCCCCCAGAGGGCTCCAAGACGGCCCTAGAGGCATCCAAGACGGCCCAAGAGGGCCCCAAGCGATGCCCCAAAGGGGGAACACAAAACAAAACTTCGAGCCCTCGGCCTTAACAAGCCCCCAGGAGGCCTCAAGAGGCCCCTGACAGGCCCCGAAAGCCCCCAAGAGGCCCTCAGGAGGCCCCCAAGCGACGCTGAAGAGGTCCCCCAGCGGCCCCAAGAGGCTCAGTCATGCGAAATGGGCCGGCGGAGTGAGCGAAACGATTCAATAACGTGCTGCGCGCCAACAGGCTTGCTGCTCCACGAACACAATTCATAATAACAGCCCCTCAATTTTCTGGATTCAGCAAGTCGCATTCGCGAGCGTAGTTCGCCTTATGCGGGCGTTTTCTAGTTTGTCCTGCTACGTCGCATTCGCGAGCATAGTTGACGACGCGCGGCTGCCTCCGCCTCTCCCCATGTCGCGCCCTCGAACGACATTCGTGACGTGCGTTCGCTGGCGCTGCGTTCTGCAACCGAAGTACACGTAGTGAAACTTCCGGCTGTTTATCCCGTCTGCGAAGCGTTCTCCTCGTCTGAGGTCGCTGCGGCGGGAACTGGGCACGGTCTCCTTGAGCCTCCCGTCGCTCAGTCTGACCGCGGCGTGGTCGTCTTCGAGCTCCCCTGCGCATCGCGCCCAAGAACAGCCCCTGGCCGACGGCCCCCTTCGTCGCGGAGTCGGCCCTCATATCGCGAGTGTCACGCCAGCACGTGCCAATTATCTGCTTGGCGCGGCGCTGGTCGGAGAGCCACCGCGGGCGGCCTGCCGCGCTGCGCTCTGAAAGTGGGCGCGCAAGATCCACGGCGACGGCCGCGAAGACGGGCGTCCTGCCCAGGGCCAGGGCTGCTGGCATGGCGTAGCCACCCTCTTCTTTCGGCTCCCTGATCTCATCGGATGAGACTGGGCCCGGGATTATCGCGGAGCGCGAGGAGGCGCGCCTGCGACCCATCAGCTGCGCCGCGCGCTGCGAGCAGCTCTTGCGTCGAGCAAGCGGCAGACCTCGACGCCGGCGCGGCGGCACTTGCCGAGACGCATGTAGACGGCGCCCCTTGTCATGGCCCGTCTCCTCCTTCCTCTTGAAGGGCCCCTCGCTGCGCGCGCAGATCTGGCCGGCGCATTCCACGGCGGGGAAGGCGACGCGCGCCTTGATCTCCTGCGTAGCGAGGGCCGCAGAATTGAGCTGCATTGCGCGTCGCGTAAACGGATTCTCGGCCCGCTGCACCGCCGCGGCGCGCGCTGCGACGCGGCGCTGGGCGAGCAGGGCGCGAGCAGCTGCTCCCGGCGAAGAAACGAAACTATCGGGTGGCTGACCTCCTGCGGGCTCGCAGGCCTTCGCCTTGACCAGCTCGGCGCGCCTGGTCGGCATCGGGGCGTCGATGCGCTCGTCCTGGTCGAGCGCCGCGGCGCCGTCGGCGCGGCGGCGTTGGCGGGCGCGGCAGTTGGCATAGTCGCCTCAGCTCCCTTCATCCTGCCGAAGACACCCCCGTTGTGGCCGACGAGCTTGTCGACGCGCCCCCCGTGTCCAGCGACCTTCAGATCGCCGGCGTGCTCGGACAGCATGGGCGCGAGCTTGAATCGCCAGAACCACAATTGCTGGGCGCCTCGCGTTTGACCTCGAGCTCCAGGCCCCCGCCTGGCGGGTTCGGCGTCGCACTCTGGCGGGCGCGTGGCCCGGGCAAGTTTCATAGAGAAGGCTCGGGGTGCGCCCTTGCAGCCCGTGCCCGGCTCGACGCGGAGAGGGCGCTCGGTCCTCTCGTCGACGGATTCGCGGCCCGGCGCCAGCCTGAGGATAGCTGATCTGCCGGGCGGAGGGGTGGAGCTCACCTCGCGTGGTGTTTCGCCCTGTTCCTGCATCTCAGCTTGCGTCGTGCCCCGCTGGAGCGCCATCTCGACGTCCGCGGCGACGCGGAGCCAGTCCGGGCGGCGCGGCGCCTCCGAGGACAGTCTGCGCTGCGAGGCGCGTTTAGCGGCCCCCGCGAAGACCTCCAGGGCGCCGGCGCCCGTGTCGCAGAAGCCCCTGAGCGCCGCGCGGCGCCGAATTTTCCGCGCGGTCTTGCCGCCGGGGCTCTCCCCGTGCTTCCGCTTGCAGACGCGTCTGGAGCTCGTGGTGTTTCGGGTGCCGTTCGAAACGTGCTCATGACCAGCTCCTCTAGGATGGCTGCGGACACCTCCTGGGGCAGCCTGGGCACCTCCTCCATGGTCAGGAGATCGGCGCGGCACTCGATGGCCGCGGTCTTGCCGGCGGCGTGCGCGCTAAGCACGGCTGCGCAGGAATCGCCAGCAACGCAGTTGCTGGGCGTTTCCTCGTTGGAGCTCAGGAATGCTTCGCGCGCCGCTGGGTCGAGGCGCAACTCCGCGCGTCTTCCCCCTGCGTCACCCTCCTCCAGCGTAGCGTAGTCATCCGGGGCGGCGCCGCGCAGGTAGTAGCGGCGCTGCGCGTGGGTGCCCTGGCGCTGGCCGCTCGCGCTGTCAGCGGCCAAGGCCGGCCGCGGCGTGCTCGACAGCAGCGCGGATCACCTGCGGGCTGTCCTCGCTCTCCAGCGCCTCCAGCCCCCGGGCCAGGTCTTCTGCGCCTTGCACTTTACGCCGCGCTGCCGGCGTGACCTGCTGGATGTGGCTGAAGAAATCGCCGCCTGTCTCCTCGGGCATGGCCGACGGTGCCGATGGCCGCCCCGCCTCAGCGGTAATGACAGCGCCCTCGGGGGTGTCGGTAATGCAATCATCGAACACTCCATCTGGGGTCTTTCAAGCGTCTGCTGCCATGGGCACCTCGTCGCCCAAGCTGAACTGGATGGCGAGGGCTCCCTTCCACTGTTCGCCGATGAGCGCGCGGGCGTCGAACGTGGCGCCGCCCGCGTGAATCTGCCGAGTTTCACCAAGACTCTGAAGGAACCACCAGAAAGGACTCAGCTGCGGGGGTGCAATCTGCCCACTCCCCGACAGAGTTTAAGCTGCGTAGTAGACGCGCGGCACGAACATCTGGCTGTTGAGAGCATCTGCGGGATTCGTGGCGCAGAGCTTCGAGGATGTCTGGGCGGTGCCGCGTCTGCGCGGTCATCAGTGCGCCCCCTGTGTCCTCCCAGTGGCCGAAGGTTCTGGTGCCGGAGCTTGGTGCGACGTTCTCCATGGAAGTCTCCACTCGGTCCCTGGCCAGGCCAGCTCCAACCATGCCGGCGCCCGCGTCGTCGAACATGGCAGCGATGAAGGGCCGGGCAGACGTGACAGTCCCAGGGCCCGCCCAGCCCGATGCGTCGATTGTGCTCGGAGGCCCGTGGATCTCTACCTGGTCGCCAACGTTGGAGCGGCCCTCTGGGCGCGGCGGCGCGCGTCTGGAGAGCGCGGCTGGCGCGGGAGATCGACGTAGCGTCAGCCATGCGTAGCAGTGCGATCCCTCTGGCTCGCCACTGCAATCGGTTCGGCCGTG